AGTGATTTTTTCCGAAAAATAACTACTCAACAAACTACATTTAGAATCAGAAACATTGATAGGAGTGCAATCACTAACACAATTTATACCGGTAACTATTCCAAATTCTCTAAGACCAAAATACAATTTTTTGTTATTTATTTCAATAGCAAACACATCATCCGGTGTGTGTTTTAACTCTCTATTTATAAGGCAATGAATAACTTGTAGTTGTGTGCTCGCTTTTGGAAGGTCAAGAAAGTAACCAAAACATGTATTCCTGAACAACTCAAGTTGTTTATCAGATAAAGATAGTTTGATTTGGTCGATGACACTATGATTAGTGTAAGATGACCACCTACTCAAAATATACACAACATCCGGATGTTTCCAGAATTTACGATCCTGCATATGTATTAAACATGAATTAAAAATGTGTTACTACATACTAAAGTTGAATTAAAGATGAATTTCACATACTATGTATCAAAGCAAGGTAGTAATCAGTTGAATTAAAGATGAATTACACCGATGACCATTTTTGGTTCCAAATCCAGACCCAGAACTTATCAACTTCAACACAAGCAGCCTAAACAATGATCTAGTTGTCATACACTTAAAGCTCTATTTTATATCGAAAAACCAACTTCCAAAGCAATTTAAACCTACATTTCCACTTTATCCATTGGAACAAAACATTCGAGTGCGGGAGAAAAGATCAGATAGAACATGGAACAATGTTACTCCAAAAATATATGATGTGTCCTCTCATTTACACATCTTTTCCATCTGTTTTCCAAATTAACACGAACAAGTGTTACCAGCTATTTGACAAGCTCCCACTAATTCTAGACAAAACAATGGACAAAGAGGAGATATTTTGCAATTAAGTAAAACATAAATGTCAAATTCAAAGTGACCGCTAGCTTCCTGCTATAGCACTGCTCTTCATTGGAAGAGTATTGAAATAGTCATGTACATGATTCCCACACACCCCGCCTCCTTCAAATATATGATGAAACATTTGCTCATATTGCTTTCTGCCACTTTTTAAGAAGAACATTATGAGCCCGATATATAACCTCCTAATATATCAAGACACTAGGACACTCAATCCCAAACTAGTTAGGGTCAGCACTCAGAATCCTATTTATCCCTCCCCTTTATTTAGGTGACCCTATTAATCAAACAAATGCAAAACCTACTCTATTCACTTCCTGCCATTTCTTCAGATGACAATCCCTTAAACGGGAGATATAAAGCTACTAATAGATTCAAGACAGCAGGACTCAATCTCAAACTAGCTAGCATTGCAACAACACTATGCATCCTAACTTGATATCTCACATTCATATTTGAGTGTTTAAAAAAAATTACATTACTACATACTAAAGTTGAATTAAAGATGAATTTCACATACTATGTATCAAAGCAAGGTAGTAATCAGTTGAATTAAAGATGAATTACACCGATGACCACTTCTGGTTCCAAAATCCAAACCCAGAACTTATCAACTTCAACACAAGCAGCCTAAACAATGATCTAGTTGTCATACACTTAAAGCTCTATTTTATATCGAAAAACCAACTTCCAAAGCAATTTAAACCTACATTTCCACTTTATCCATTGGAACAAAACATTCGAGTGCGGGAGAAAAGATCAGATAGAACATGAAACAATGTTACTCCAAAATATATGATGTGTCCTCTCATTTACACATCTTTTCACACGAACAAGTGTTACCAGCTATTTGACAAGCTCCCACTAATTCTAGACAAAACAATGGACAAAGAGGAGATATTTTGCAATTAAGTAAAACATAAATGTCAAATTCAAAGTGACTGCTAGCTTCCTGCTATAGCACTGCTCTTCATTGGAAGAGTATTCAAGACACTAGGACACTCAATCCCAAACTAGTTAGGGTCAGCACTCAGAATCCTATTTATCCCTCCCCTTTATTTAGGTGACCCTATTAATCAAACAAATGCAAAACCTGCTCTATTCACTTCCTGCCATTTCTTCAGATGACAATCCCTTAAACCTGAGATATAAAGCTACTAATAGCTAGCACTGCAACACTATGCATCCTAACTTGATATCTCACATTCATATTTGAGTGTTTAAAAAAAACTGTATTACTATATACTAAAGTTGAATTAAAGATGAATTCCACATACTACATCTCAAAATCAAGGCAGTAATCAGTATACAATCATTCCTAAAACAACAACTAACTAGGAAAAACACATAGAAATAGATTCAAAATACAATCACATACTGGATATCTACTCTCTGGTAGAATGACATTTTTGGGCAATTGATTTCGTGTTTTTGCATCCTTCACTGGCTTCTTCTTCTCTTTCCCCTCTTTATTTTTCATTTTTTTTTACTGAAATTGAGGAGGTAAATCCTCAAAATCGTCATCACAGTCCACGATTTTCTTCGACGTAGATGCTAAATCAACGCATCTTTTTTTCGATTTCTTCACATTGTTCACCTCTTTAACTCGTTTTTTTACCTTTGTTCTGCTTCTTGTTCTTCTCCTCCTTGTTCTGCTCCTTGTTCTGCTCACCCTTGTTTTGCTCACCCGATACTTGTGAGATTCCCAAACTAAAATTGGGACAGTCATTAACTTCATCAGTAGGAGATGAAACTTGACCCCTCATTCGACTCCTTCTATAAACTTTTTGATTCGAAGTACCAACATCACTAAGTATCCGCGAACTTCTTCTAGGCGATTTTCGTGTTCCTCCTTCTTCTTCCATTAGAATTATGTGCTGAAAAATGGGGAAGAAAGAACAACAAAATCCTAAAATTTTCGGACAGAAGAGTAGAAAGAAAAGAGAGAGAGGATATGAGCGAATGGGCAACACTTTTTTGCTTAGTTTAAAAATTACATGAAAAGGAACAAATTTGTTTTAAAATTGTTTTAAGTAACTATTGCTAAAAGTTGACAAAAATGGTAATAAATTAAAAGTATACTTAAAAACGGTAATTATTAAATAAAAGACCTTCACTTATGTAATTTTTCCTAAATTAAATAATTATAACATACTCAATATATTTCTACAAGTGTAGTGTGGAGAGGTAGGATATACGCTGATATGATGAAGTAAGAATGCAAATAATGTAAATTTTCAATGAAAAATATGTACTCATATAAAATTAGATAGTGTTACGCTTGGGGAAAAGTTTATATACATATATGATATAATATATGTATGGTTTTTTTTTTCTCTACATTTATGCTTGCCCTCTCCCCCCTCCCCCCCCCCCCCTTTCCATTATCATCGTCTGCCTACTCTCTTTCAAACGAGTGTTGAATTTTTTTCCTCTTGAACATGTTAGTTTTCAAAATTTTTTATAAGTAATAAACAAAGTACTTATAAAAAGCTTTGAAAACTAACATGTTAAAGAGGAAAAAAAGTCAACACTCGTTTAAAGAGAGTTGGCAAACACTGATAATGGAGAGAGAGGGGACAAGCGTATATATAGAAAAAATATTAATGATATTTGAGCTTTACAAGAAAATAAATTAGCGTTTTAAAAAAAATCTGAATAAAAATAAGAGTCTCTCATAAATCTGTCTGAAATAGATTCTTTCAGACTCATAAAATGATTTATTTAAGAAAAATAAACACTCGAATGTCTGAACCATTCAGATTCAAACCTTTATTAATTGCAAAACAAATAAGGCCTAAGACTCTAATGGGGTAGATCTCTTTGTTTTAAAAAAAAAGAGCAATAAAAAAAGGGAAAAAGGTTTGAACTTTGACTGAAATTGCTGTAATAATACCGAACTTTGGAAATGACCTTTTACCCCTGCACTATTTAATAGTTATTTTAAAGGTATATATGTGCCCAGGTGGACATCATAAAAATTGCATCATTATAAATAGTAACGTGTCTACGTGAGCAAATATATACCTTTAAAATACACTATTAAATAGTGTAGGGGTAAAAGGTCTTTCATAAAATTTGGTATCGTAACAATAATTTCGACCAAAATTAGTGTATTTTTCAGACCCTTTTTTCTATAAAAAAATATGTAATAATTTATTTATTTTTCAATAGTGTTAATTAGCCACAGTTTAGTCGTGCCTAAATAGCGAATAAAGTTAGGCCAGGAAGGTGGTAAGCAAATGTTATGGATGTTTTTCCTTCAATTTTTTGGGACAAGTTAACACTGTGTTGGATGGTTTTTATGTATTATTTTATAATGTATTGTATTGTATCGTCCTATAGTGTTATAATGAACACAATATTTGAATAGATTGTATTGTTCTCCGTCTTACAAAATGTAACACATCTATAATTTAAATGATAAACATATTAAAAAGTAGGCTACGGATAGAGCTACATTTTAAATATATGATAAAAAAGATATATAATTACATTAAATAACAAATAAAGACAAAATAAGAAGAAAATATTAAGATAACGATGCAATCACATCAAATTATTTTTTTACATAAAATGGGCTCTTTATCTAATGATAGATTTAAACAAGGGAAAAATGATAAATATACCCTCGAACTATCGTAAATGGTATGCAGATACCCTCCGTCATACTTTTGGGACATTGGTACCCCTGTCGTCCAAAAACTAGAGCATATATGCCTTCACTCTAACGGAAGACTAAATAGGGACACGTGACACAATCTTATTCATCGATTCAATATTTAATAAATGTCGAGTCGGTGGATAAGATTATGACCGGTATATGTCTGTTAGTATAAAGAGTATATATGGTCTAGTTTTTGGACGACAGGGGCACCAATGTCCCAAAAGTATGACAAAGGTATCTACATACCATTTGCGATAATTCGGAGATATATTTATCTTTTTCCCTTTAAACAAATAGGATATGATAAAATTTAAATTTAAGTAACAATCAAAACAAACATTATATTAACCATCCATCCAAACAAGGCGTAAGAGGAAATCTATGCCCTTTCCCATCACATGATACCAACTCAACTCTATTACAGTTTCAGCACCAAATGATGTCGTGTAGTGGATGAGGTTGATTCTCCTATAACTAGGGGTGTGCAAAAACCGATTTAACCAATAAACCGAACCGAAAAAAACACTATTGGTTTATTGATGTTGGGTTATTGGGCTAACGGTTTTTAAACGGTTTTGCAAAATATTTAATTGGGTTATTGGTTCGGTTTCCGATTTTATGATTTTTGCTAATGGTTAAACCGATAACCCAATAAGACTATACTAAATTTACTAGTCTTATTGTTAATGGTTAAACGATTGTTACTTTCACACTTTTTCCTTTGAATGTGTCTAGTGTCTAAACTTGCAAGAAAAATGATTGTTACTTTTATGATTATTACTTTCATGCCAAATGCTGGAAAAATCATATGATTTATTTAAAAAATTTCTTATCGTGTATATAATATATATGAGTATTTTCTTATTGGTTAAATCGAAAACCGAACCGTTAAGTACCATAAACCGATTAACCAAAAACCGATAAGAAATATGTTATTGGTTTGGTTATCGGTTTGACGTATTTACAAACCGAAAACTGATAAACCGAACCGATAACACCTAAAACCGAACCGAACCGACCGATGCGCACCCCTAATCACATCACAGCACTTCACTTTCCCCCAAAGAAGCGTCTTGCAGCAAAATCGTTCCCTTCGATTTAGGGTTTTCTCGTATCCTGGGAAATGGTGAGCTCCCTCTCTTCTTACCTGCAAATGCTTTGATCCTTTTTCCTCTGATTTTCGCCAATTGATCTTATTTTCGAATTCTTTGCAGGCTGATTCTCCTCGCCAAAGGTTCGTCTTTGTTTCTTTCGCCAATTCTATATTTGATTTTTGTATTTATTGAACCATCTTTCTCTTAAAAATTGCTACTTGCATCTCTTTGTTGTAGTTACGGTTTTTGGCAAGTCCTTCATGTTTGATTGTTTTAGGTTAACTTGTTTATGCTCCATAGATCTCGTTGGTTATGTGCTATAGAGTAGGATATATGCAGCTGGGACCATTTGAATAAGCTATTGTATGATTATGCTATCAATTTTGACTTAAATATTTACCTACTTTGAAGAAAAAAGTTGGACTAAGAAAACATGCATTCAGACAGCCAATTCACAAACTTTACTTCTTATACAATACAACCATAACAACAACATGTCCAGTGTAATTCCACAAGTGGGGTCTAGTTAGAGTGGGGTGTATGCGGGTTAGAGAAATTGCCAAAGATAGACCCTCGGCTCAAGAAAAGTGTCTTACTTCATATGCTTTACTTTATATATGTCACTTAATTGCACTTTCTCAATGTTTTGTTCATATGCTTACCATAGTGAAGGCAAGTTCTATAGAATGGTTGTAAGACCAACAATGTAGGAGTGGATGTTAGGCCTCTGAAATTCTAACATATCCACAAGGTGAGTGTCGTAATGAATGCTGAGATGGATATGCAGTGATACAAGATTGAAAATAATCATACTCTACAGAATGTGCTAGTTAGTAGTAACACGCGTAGAAGATAAGATGGGGGACTGGCACTTTAGATGATTGATCATATCCTTACTGACCTCCTGATGCACCAGTTGGCGGTTTATAGCTGTGGAACCCAGGGGACAAGGTAGAACCTAAAATCGTATATAAAAGAATTTTGCCATAAGACATTTCTCGGAGTCTAGGAAAAGTACGGTACAATGAAAGAAAAATGTCTGTAAAGGTGATAGCAGTTAGTTAGGATTATGTTTTAGGTCTAATGTTTGTTGGAGTTTATATATTAGTAGAAAATGTGGAGAACTTCTGGTGCTAGTGAAACTAATTTTTTATAGTACTCCCTCTGTCCAATTTATGTGGCACTTTTTGTTTTTCGAGAGTCAAACAATTTATGTTTGACCAGAAATTTGCGCGTGGAGTCTTCAATTTTTTGAAATGAAATTTATATATTTGTTAATTACGTAAAAAGTAATATAAGTCACAATAATTGGCAATTCAAAATAATTAAAAGATATGTGAAAAATTTACGGTCAAAGATAGACTTGTTTGAATCTCAAAATTCGAAAAGTGCCACATAAATTTGGACGGAGGGAGTATTTGACAGAGAGGGACTTAAATGGAGTTACATAGACAACAGAATTCGTATAGTCGTCCCCTACTTGTTGGTTTTGTAGTGTATTTGTACAATTTTAAATTTTGGTGTAAGAAAATCAGCCATTAAGTTTGAGTAAGTTAGAAATGTTTCTTTCCAGCTCATTCAGAAAATGAATTATGATTTTGAACTTGGTTAACATACCTCTATTTTTTGATAACCAAGAATTCCCAACAGCTATTTGGTACATGGTCTAAACTTTGTGTATGATCTCTAACTTTCTCCCTTAAGTATCAGGTTTTTGTGTGCGAAAGATTCGAACCATGACTTGTGCTTAACCCTTATGTCACTCATCAATGATTTGTTGTTGTTGTTTAGTCCCATAAGTTGATTTTGACGCCTAATAGTGTAATAGGCTGAGTTAACTCAAAGATGCGATATAAGTCTCTACTGGTTATTATTTTATGGATGACATAACTTAAAGATCAAACATTTAAAATCACAGTACCGGTGGTGGGTTGACTCTTTTACCATGATTAAAAAATGGACCTTGGACCTAATTTAATTGCAAAAGCTAGCTCATTATGTAAGGATTGTTCAAGGCCATATAAAAAAAGACAATCCCATTTCTTTCAATGAATGTGACATTCTAAGTATCAATATCATAGAACAACTATCCTACTCCTCCGGAAAGTTCAGATTTGTAATTGTCCACTCTCTTAGTTTATACTTTGATAGTCCACTTTTATGTTAACTATTAACATTGTAATTTTTTCTAGACTTATATTTTGAGCACAAATTATGTATTTTCCACAATTATAATTTATAAGTATGGGGTCAAATCCTAAGTAACTCTAGTGTTACTTACATTTATCCAACTATACTGCTGTTATTTGGAGTGTCATTTCCTTATCCAAGTATAATTCTATGATTCATTCTGAACACTTTCTAAATGTATTCCAAGCATTGCGTTAATATAAAAAAAAAATCGTGGATTTTAATATATAAATTTTTTTCCTGCTTTATGATATGTATGAAATTTTACCTGCAAAAAGATGATTTCATTCTTTGAGGGGTCCCTTTGATATATGTTGTTTTATGTCAATATGCTTTGTGCCATTTATCTTGTTTATTGTTGAAACTGTTTGATCTTATATTTTTCGGATGTCCAGGTATTCACGCTCTCCTTCTCCTTGGGAAGAAAAGTCGAGATCTAGATCTAAATCAAGGTCTAGATCTCCACCTGGGTCATATTCAAGGCCAAAGGAAAGATCAAGGTCAAGAAGCCGTGGAAGGTTTGTTGGACCTTCAGCTTTACTCTACCTTAGCATTTTCTTTTTAACAGTGGTGTCCAAGCACCTTAACTATTCCACTAAGTACTTGCTAATGGGAACTCGTCCCGCTAGGCAGATGGGAAGAAATCAGTTTAGTGTTTTCGTCTCTGGTGGTTTTTTTTCCAATACCCACTTTATTGATCATTAGGACAGTGTCCTTGGGGCTTGGGTACAACCTTGCCTTGGTATTTATTATTGTAGTGATACATGCATATTCCCCGGAATTATGTTCGGGTTGTGTTGATTGGTTTGTTTTGAAGCTGCTTTTCTCGTCCTATATGACTTATTTCAGGGAAGAAGTTTCTAATCCGGGAAACACACTTTATGTGACTGGTTTGTCTACAAGGGTCACGGAAAGGGACCTGGAGGAGCATTTCTCAAAGGAGGGGAAGGTTGGTTATTTTTAGTTAATGTATTAGTAGGTTACTTTCTCATTTCTTCTCAAGTTCCATCTCCTGCAGCTCTTCCTAGCTCACAGCAAGGTTTTTACCCTCCAAAATCACGTGTATTGTATTTTTCTTCAGGTTTATCCATAGTAGAGTCTGGTCAATATGTAAACAAACAGATTGATTTATGGTGTTATCTTTACCAGAATAGCTTCCCATTATACCTGTATTGATTTTTTTGTTTCTTCTGAATTTTCTTTAAATTTTGTTGACTAGGTGAAATCAGTTTTTCTTGTCATGGAGCCGCGTTCTCGGATTTCTCGTGGTTTTGCTTTTATAACGATGGATAGTATGGAGGATGCTAATCGTTGCATTAAACACCTTAATCAGTCGGTTCTTGAAGGCCGTTACATCACAGTGGAAAAGGTTAGCTTGTCTATGGAGTAGTAAACCCATTTGTTTCCTATTTGATTGCATATCTGTCTTCTTAACTTGGAGGTTTTCTGGCTACATTCAGAAAGACATTGCGTCAGCTTTGTTGGCAGCAATCAAAGATGATCAGTTCTTCCCTTGCAACATTATTACTCAGTTTGATCAATCGCTCGCTAAATCAGCTTTTCACATGCATCTGATCAACTAAACATAGCAACTATATTGCCAACAACTATACTACTTCAGCAATTTCTTTCAACTCTCAACTAATCAACGGTCATTATCAACAATCTAATCAGGCTTTTATGGTATTGGATACCTGGCATTGGTTTCTATCTTCCATCCTTCTTCCTGTGATAAAACATGTAAAAATAACTAAGCTGCTCTGTTTACACAAATTGAATGGTATTAGCAAGTGCTTGTGCCACTCATTCACTAAGCATGGAAGGGAAAATAGATGAATCTGATTTCTTTGCCCATATGAGAGAATGTTGTGTTCATTCTTTATTACAACAGGGATTTCATTGTCTGATCTGGATACCCCATTTCTTTGGGATGTAAATGTACATTTTGTTCAGATCTCCCATTTTGAGACATATATCTATTTTTCAGTCTCGGAGGAAACGTGGAAGGACTCCTACGCCTGGTCACTATCTAGGACTTAAGAACGCAAGGGATGACGGTGAGTGTTTCTAATATTATACAAGTTTGTATGGCATATTCAGTGTAATCATGGAAGTTCTTAACTACTGGTTGCTTTCTTCATAGGTTATCGTGGTGATCGTGGAGACCGTGGCAGGTATAGAGATCGTGAGGACTATGGGTACCGAAGATCTCCAAGGCATTCACCATATAGAGGTGGACGAGATTATTCACCTAGGCGTTCGCCTTATGGGGGAAGGTCAAGAAGGGAGCGTTCTAGGTCATATTCTCCTTATGAAAGGAGCTATCCTCGTGGTCCCAGATAGGACTTTGTCAAGGCGTAATCCCCAATGGCAATGGAAAACTGCTTCAAGAATCTTGATAGTGTGGTTTGTCTAGGCTGGTGTGTTTTATGTATTGTGCTTATCTCTAGCTGACTTCCTTATTGTACCTTAGTTTGCAACAAGGTTTAAGTAGCGAACAAAATGAAATTACAAACCCTGGGAAATATAGTTCTGCTGCTGATTTGATGGAACTTTAATTGAAAATTTGTGATTCTTGTATCATAGTTTGCTTTGTTTCAAGAGGGAATCAGTATGTTAGTTAGAAGAAATGATTTGCACGAATGACCAAAATTAGGGAAATTTTCACGAGCCAGGTTGTTGAAGTGTATGACACAACTTGTTGTAGAACTTTGGCAAGGGGTGTTTTTTCTTGTTCCCCTTATTCCTTGGGAATGATATGTTCAAGATACCCTGTGTTGGAGTAATGAATAAAAATTGAGGGTAATTTTGACCCTTTCTCCCGGTTAGACAAAAGGATCAAAACTTCAAGATCACCCTTATACGGTCACAATTTCTTCCATTATTATTTGCACCATCTATATATTTATTATAAAGTTATGCATAAATAGGGCAATGTGACACTTCTCTCATTGCTATTTATCATTAATTTTTTTGTAAGATTGACATTTTCTCTTTTAACTAATTTTCTGATTAAAGAATTAGCTATATTCAAACTTATTTAATCAAATGATCAATAAAGTTATTTAATTAATGTATGTTACATATGTTTTTTGTTTTATGTAATTTATTAGTTTTATTTAATTAGCTGACCAGTAAGGTTTGGTAAGAAGCCCTTGAAATTATTAAAAACTATATAGTTTGCTAATTTCAACATCTTAGCAACTTCCTCCTTCTGGCAGTGCAATTTTCATTTTGTAGGAAACAAAAGTTCACCCAAACAAATGAGAAGAGAATGAAGTTGGGAAAAGGAATGAAGCCTTTTTTGGCATATGAGGTTTGCTAACCTTGTGTTATAATTCTGCTCTATAATTCCTATAAATAGAGATGAGATTTGAGAAGTCATATTTTAAATATACTTGAAAATATTTATTTGAAGAATAATAAAGCACTATTTTAAGACGAGGGGGAGTTGCTCCAATCTGAAGGTTGCGAGTTCGAGTCACCAAGGGAGCAAAAAGGGTGGGAGGATGGTAAGCACGCCTCACTTTCAACTCGAAAGTTGCGAGTTCGAATCACCAAGGAGCAAAAGGGTGGGAGCTCCTAGGGAGGGTAAAAAAAAAAAAAGCACTCTTTTATTATTTATTTAGTATCTATACTTTCTTGCTTCATATTGTTAAATCTTTTAGCTTAATTTTACTTAAAATCTATTCCGAATAAGTATGAGCTAGTTTAAAGAGCAAAATCCAGCTTCGTCTTCTTCGTTTCTATCTTCACCATGTCACCAACAGCTATCCTAAACCCTCGAATCCCAAACTTCACTCCATTTCCTCTATACAAACTTCAATTCCTCAACTTACCTCCTTCATTTCCCAAAAACACTTTTCGCTCCCAAATTCCTCCTCATTCTCTCAATTTCTCCCTTCAAAACAACTCGCAGCAACCCCACTTCCCCCTCGAAGACGAAGAACACGTAATCGGAGACTGCATAGTGTTTGAAGAAGGAATTTTCGACGACCCTTTTGTTCAAAAATCCGACAACAACCAAAATAAGCCACAAAACAACAATAAGAAGAAATCAGCAGAAATTCAATCCGAGAATTTAATTCCTGAAGAGTGGGTTGAAGTTCAGAGGGAAATTAACATTACTAAGAAGGAAAGGCGTAAGCTTTCACAGCAATTGGAGTTTGGGCAACGTGCAGAGAGGAGGAGGCTAGAGTTAATGCCAATTGGTAGTAACAGTAATGCTAGAGGCAGTAGTATTGAGGATTATTTGAAAGCGAGAGAAGAAAAGTTGAAGCAATTGAAGCCGCTTGTGCTTGAAAACCCAGATTTTTTAAAGGTTAAAAGGGATAAGAATGAGAAGAAGAAGAAGAAGAGTGATGCTGAATTGAGTGAAAGTGAAGAGGAGAATTCCGTATTGAGGGTTTCAAGTGAAAGGGTATTGCCGAGAGATCCTAGATCAGCGGTTTATGGTGGTGGATTAGAAGATATTAAGGAGTTCTTCAACAGTGGGATTTATGAGGCCAATGCGGCTAAAAGCCCTGAAGGTATGGTTTTCTTTATGTTTGGGTAGGTTGAATTTGTGGAAGTCTTGGAGGAATCTGTTATGCATAGTTTTAGTGGAGTGAAAGGGTCAAAACCACACCTGAAGTTCCTGTCTTTTTGAGTTCCATACCTGAATTTTAAGGTGTGCAAGTGAGTTTCCTACGTGAACTATCACCAACTATTTATCAAAAGACACCTCAACTATGAATTGTTCTCTTCTCCTACCGGAACGATGGTGATAGTTCAGGTAGGAAACTCACATGCCTAATAGTTTAGGTATGAAACTCGAAATAATGGAATACTGTAGGTGTGTTTTTTACCATAAACTCATTTTAGTACTAAAAACATGTACTTTCTGGTTCCAATTTGGACATGCATTTCACAATTTTTAGGAAATAATGTGTACATTTCTGCAACTACATAATATTTACTAAAAAAATCAGTTTTGATACTTAAAGTACATTTAGGTTGTCAAAGAATGTTTTGATTCTCCAAATAGTGTTATATAAAATGGGATAAAGGAATACCAAACTCGGGCTCCTCTGTGTTGAACCAAAGAGTCGACTGGGAGTTGTTGAAAGAACAGTTTGACTCTCCAAATAATAGTATCATGTAAAACAAGATGGAGAAGTATTGAACTCAGGCTATTCCATTGGATTAAGAGAGGGCTGAGTTAAGATAGTTTACCTGTCAGCGTTTTAAGGCAATTAACCTTTTGGACGAAAATGTTATAGTATATACTTGTTTTAGATTGAGATAATGTTAGTAATAAACAATTCCAGCGTTACAGACTAACCTGGTAAAGCATCTTTTTTTTTTTTTTTTGATGACAAGGGAAATCCGCAGCCGCTACCCTTTGGGTGCGCACAGGGTAAAGTTAAACTTTACCCTGCTCCTATGTAATAGCTTGCAAGCCACATAGGAGAGGTAACCCGCACTAGGCAAGCCCGATGCTACGAGCTCAACCCAGAAGGCAAACCCCTTGCTTTTGCTGGCAAGGGGTTTCGAACTTGAGACCTCCAACATGGAAGTCCCAATCCCAAACCACTAGGCCACCCCGAAGGGTAGCCTAGTAAAGCATCTGATAACTAATCTAAGTTGAGTTTTGATTTTTAAACTATTGAGTTTGTTCTTGGGTCACTGTTGACTAAGTTGAGTTGATTCTTTCCAATTTGGCATTGTTGACTTAGACTTTTAAAGTATGTCAGAAGTGCAAAGATAAATGTCGATGCTGAATATTCATGAAGGCCCTAACGCTTGATTCGTGCGTTTTATCATAGCATATAGAATAAGGTTAAACCTATTCCTTTCTTCTGGTATGTTATTAGTACACGTATATATTGTTTGCCAGTGGTGATATAAGCATCTATTACCACATTCAGTTGGGAGTTTGAAACTGTTAAATCTTGAAACACTAGAAGCTATTTGCCTGCCAATATGTCGAAGTATATTGATGTTTCTAAAAGATAAAAACATATGGATGAATTGATCCAGAAGTACTAAAGTAGATGTCTATGGCTCGCTTGAAGCTGTTATCTCATACTTGTAGCATTTTTTTCCATGCCCATTACTTGAATGGAATTTAGCAACTATCAGAAAAGAAAAAAGATTTTGGACAAGATGCAAATCTGCTTAATTAAGGTCCCTGTTATATCATAATCTCCTGACTTCTCAACGTTCAGCCTGGAGAAGTTTTAAGGAACGCTATTTTTGAAGAAGTTCCTCTATCTACATTGGTCTATTTTTGTTTCCAAATTTAAGATGAAATTCCTGTCAAGCTTATATTGCTTTAGGCTAGTATTTATTTACTGGTGTCCACTATTTGTCGTGCTAACTGGATTTGCGTGCATATTATATGTTTTTCCCCTGTCATTGAATTGGACAAATTCAGTAGTAGTGTAATCCTTATATTTCAAACTCTTTTCCACAGGCTAATATGACTTTTTGGTCATATAATTGAGATTTTATTTGTTCCCTCTTTAGGGCATCATTCAGAACTCAACGTTTTTGGTATACTAATCTGTGTAGGTCCTCGTAAGCTGTTCACTACAGAGGAAAAGTTCCTATTAAACAAGCGGCATCCTGATCTGGTGCCTGCTACCTCTGTAAGTTCCTGCCTTATGTGTTCGCTTATATATTGGTGTTAGTGAAATGTATTTATATGTTTTCTCCTATATTGGCTATTCTCACTTACGCATTGTGTTGAAGCTGATCATTTTATGCTGTTCTATTTCTACATTTTTGTTCCTGTGCAAGCTTGTTTCAATCTTCAATGCACTTTGTGCAAGTAATCCTCTTATTATAGATGGTTTAGATTGATTCCTGAATTCTACCAAAACCTTGCAGGAAAAATGGCAGCCTCTACATACTTTAGCTGCCTCAGGAGAGTTTTACCTTCTCACCTCTTTGTTGAAGCATGTTGTTGATATTAATGTTCCAGATAAGGTACAAAATGAGTGACATGTACCAGTAGAATGGTCCTTTATGTTCTGCCATATTTGTTGCTTATTAATATATTTTTAATTATATACCAAATAATTTTATAGCTATGCAAGCAGTGTCTTCTTTTTCTAGCTCCTATTGAGTTGTTGTTTTTTTTTTTTTTTTTTTTTTTTTTTTTACAGGATGGATTGACAGCTATCCATAAAGCAATTCTTGGCAAGAAGCAGGCTATTTTTAACTTTCTTTTAAGAGAATCTGCAAATCCACTTATACGTGACAAAGTGAGCACAACCTTCTACAAATGCTTCACAATTTAGATTCATGTTGGTTCTTTTTCATTAACATCCATGTAACCATTATTCCCGTGTCAATTCAGATTGAGTTATCCTTTTGTTTTTCTTCTCTCCCCTTGACCGAGACTCTGTCTCATACTAAACCACATATCAAGTGTCCTTTTGTTCTCTTCTCCCATCATTGTCCTATCTGTCCTTACTGAACTACATTTCAGTCTTAGCTTTGTTGTCAACCATAAGAATCAGCTATATGATTTTCGTTGTATATGAACTTTTGGATAACCAGTGTTGCGGCTTGTTATTAGTTTAATAATCTTCTTGATTTATTACAGGATGGAGCCACCTTGATGCACTATGCTGTTCGAACGGCATCCACTCACATGATAAAAATCCTTCTCTTGTATAATGTTGATATAAACCTCCAAGATCATGTACGGCTAATTAAATTCTTTAATGTCATCTTGAAATACATTTTTTTGGTGTACTCATATGTGCTCCAGTATAGATTTATGAACATTGAATGACTTTCTCTTTCAGGATGGATGGACACCTTTGCATCTAGCTGTTCAATCCCGTAGAACCGATATAGTGAGACTTTTGTTAATCAAGGGAGCTGACAAGACTCTAAAGAACAGGGTAAATTCTATTTCTGCTTAATCATTTTGAACTCTTATGTTTTAATGCTTTTGCTTCTTCAGATCTCATAGCTTTGATTCATATCTAGAATGTATACGTCCTATTTGCTGTTTTAGAATGTAGGCAAATCGAGATGATATATATTCTTGTATGTATGGTTTTAGATCTAGTTTCTTTCTTTTCTTTTAATATCTCATGGCCTTTGTTTCAATTTGAGAAAAGAACATTGTTATGTTGCAGGATGGTCTAACCCCACTTGACATTTGCCTCCATTCTGGTCGAGATATAAGGACGTATGAGCTTATCAAATTGTTGAAACAACTTCCCAAGGTTCCAATAGTTGGTCTGACCTAAAAATGCAGCTGCTAAGTACGAAATTGGCAGATGGCTAGCAGTTTGGAAGTGCTGCCAGCTTTGAGTTTGGCTCTTTTATGTCGCACCCCGAGTTATTTGTACAACACTTGGCCCTTCCGAGAAGCAGATTCAGATTTATGCTTACACTGGTAGGAGAGGAAATTTCACTTTTTAGTTCTCACATTGTACTACACTGCACCATAGTATGTGTAAATAGAACTGTATATTGTTACTTAGACATTGGATTACAGAACATTTTTGGATTTCAACTCTCAGTGATACTTGAAATGTTAGGATGATATTTATTTCTTTCATCTTTCCAATAGTTGTGGTGTCTAAACTAGCATGCTCACACCACTTTGACTTTATTAGGTACCTACATTTTCTAATCAGTACATTCATTGAGTAACTTTGCCCTCCAAAACTAAGATAAATATAAACAACCTAGCTTCCTTGTCTTCTGTGATATTCGCTGCGATTTCGTCCACACTCTTGAGTGCATGACACCAGTATATGAGTGATGGTTCTGAAGTTAACTATACACTTTAACTTCACGAGAATCTTACTAGCTCCTCCTAGATATTTTAAAAGTGGAATATATAGCCCTTTAAAATGTCACACCCAAACTTGTGTTAGGTAGTGAATGCACGCTCCTTGCCACGTAATATATTTCAAAGAGTATTCTTTTTCTTTATTCTATTTTTTTCTTTTACAGCCCTGTTCTTCTTTTCCTTTTCTGTGAATTTGTTAGTAAAGTTTTACTACCTTGCAAATACCAAAAGTCTACCAATTAACCCAACACCCCCCTCCTTCCTACCATTAATACTATCCTACCATTGATACTAAATATTTGTTTCACATAAAACTTCACATATTTCTCCAATGAGAAAACACAAGTTGTAACTTTTTAGTCTCTTATGAGTTGGAAAGAAGTAAAAAAACATGTTCTTTCACATGTAACCGACAATGTTAATATGATTACGCAATGTAATATTCAAGATACATATTTCCAACAAAAATAAGGTGTCATTCTCAAGATTGAGTCACATAAAAATGAGTCATAATTCATCATCAAACACGTGACTTACACGTACATTACAAAGAATTTATTATAAATGTAACATCCAAAAAATCATAATATTTCACACTATATCTTTGCTTGAAGTTCGAAACCCCTTGCCAGCGAAAGCAAGGGGTTTGTCTTCTGGGTTGAGCTCGTCGCACCGAGCTTGTCTAGTGCGGGTTACCTCCTCTATGTGGTTTGCGAGCTATTGCATAGGAGCGGGGATTTTATCCTGTGCGCATTCAAAGGGTAGCGGCTGTGGGTTTCCCTTGTCATCAAAAAAGAAAACATGTATTGGACATATATAACATTGTGTGCTCATACTAAACACATTTCAGAACTTGTAAAATCACATAATGTTCACTTTTTTTTAATTCATAAACGTCTAATTTAAATCTTGTCCTTATTAAAAGATTGAAGTTTCATGCAAAATACATATTCAACTATTATTAATTGTTGTCTCATTTTAAAATATTATTTTTATCTGCTAGCCACCTTAGCGATCTGATCATCCTTCTCATTCTTTGGATCAAATTATCACACTATCAATCACCTTTTTTTTTTTTTGCTTGTTTTGATGATCTCGTATCATAGCCACTATCATCTATTCCATCATCTTTTCTGACTGAATCATCAAAGCACACAATTTTCACCTTTTTTTTAATTCGTAAAAGGTTAAATGCCTAATTTATGTCTTCTTATTAGCAAAAAATGTAAAACTCTATGTAAAACAAAAATACAATATGACTATCTTTCTTAGGCATTTTAAAAATAATATTAAAAATACCTTAAAAAGATAGTCATTAAGGGTGTGTTTGGTAGGAAGGAAAACATTTTCTGGAAAATATTTTCCAATTTTCTCATGTTTAGTTGGGTTAAATGTTTTCCAAATCAACTCATTTCCTCAAATTTAAGGAAAATGACTTCCCTTCAAAATTTAAGGAAAACATTTTCCAAAATTCTCTTCCAACTTCAAAATTACAATTTTTTTTGTTGAAAAAATCAATTTATTTTGTCCATACCCTCAAACCAGCCCCCAACCACCCTCCAAAAAATAAAATAAAATTTAAAGCTTGTTTTTAAAAATTGTTTTTAACTTCAATTTTTTTACCTCACCCTCACTCCTACCCCCAGCCCCTACCACCACCCCCAAAAAAAATAATATTAAAAGTTGTTTTTGAAAGATATTTCTAATTTTAATTTTTTATTTTTTTTACCCCCCTCTCCCCATCAGCCCCCCCTCACCCTTTCAAAAAAATAATAA